TTGGAGTTGGACTTTAGATGAGAGCAAGGACGACGATGTTACTGCCATATTCCGTCACATGAAGAAAGGGGTCGCAGTGCCTAAATAAATCTGATTCCCTGATATGACAGCATATACCCGCATTCAAATGAATAGTGATGCGTTGGTGTGCACAAAACTGACCGTTTGTTAGTCTGGCAATCAGGAGTGCTCCTAAATGTGCAGATGCACAGAGCAACTGGCCAATAATAAATAAATAAACGTTGATTCTCAACGAAGCACGCCAGTATCGGCATGATCATGACAAAGGTCAATGTATCTTCTCAACGAAGCTAGTGGATCAAACGGATATGGTTGAATGACGCAGGGAATCCCTGATGGACTTGATCACGTTGCATCAATCTCAGACGCGAGACCATCGGCCAGATGGGTTCGCTTCGTTCATTTGACCAAATTTTCTGTTTCCTGTATGCAGCAACTTTCATTAGCAAGATGTAGTGAGCTCGGTACAAAAAGTACAGGTGTTAAACTGAGATGAGCTATTACACCGACAACCCGCTAACATGCAGTAACGATTCAGGAAGGGAACGTATGCATAGGTAAGGAGATAGAGAGCAAAAGTACGAAACAACGCAGAAAATGTGGAAAGAATCCTATAGAAAGAAAGTTGTGAAAAACAGAGTAAACCCAGTGAACTTGATTGTGATGGTATTACTGATGAGCAGATATAACCGAGTGACAGGAACCTCAAGGCGGAGGATGTTGAGAGACGATTTATCAGAATCAACTGGTCATCAAGTGAAGGATAGAATTTTCTAATCCCAGAGCAGTTGCTGGAAGTATAAGCAGCTTCGTGTTAAAAGCTGACTGAATACTGAATACTAGGAAAAGGCAGCGAATAAAGATGCGCCTGTGTAGAGGCATTCAATATTGTTCATGCAAATCTGCCTATGATGATGGTGATTATTCTCGAAATCTCAAGTCGGCAAAGTGCGATTCCACAAGTTTCTTAAATTCCGACACCGACTTTGCTTCGACAATGTTTGCAGGCACGTTGTTTCAAAAATTCATCACACTCCACCCGAAGCAGTTGGTGAGTGAACCACTTCAAATCCGGTACGATAAGTTTGTACCGGTGTCCTCATGTGCTGCTTCGTGTGCACAGACGAAGCAGTGGTCCCAACATGGGGTATTCGCCCAGATGTACTATCCAGTGCGTCATGATAAGGTCAACCCGCATTCGACGATAAGACTGGGTGCAGACCCTAGCCTCTTGCATCGGTCTTCATATGGCATACCTGGTAAATCGAAGATGAGCCTAGTGGCAACATGTTGACTGAGCTGTACAAATTGTTAGCGTTGAATGTCCTCTGGCACACCCCGTCATCCAGAAGCCTTTCTAGGATCCGGAAAAATCCAGTCCCATCCTATAGCATAACAAAGCAGATATCATGTGAATCGGACACACTGATTGGTGACATGAGACGAAGGTGCAAACAATACATAGGCGGAGTTCCAATATCCCATGTGTCACCTCAGCTCTCTCTCCCTCTCTGTATATATATGGTTGGCGGCATACAGTTTCGGATTTGTCGGTCAATGTGGCCAGCCACAGGACGCCTGTGCCTACAGAGGGACCATGGATGACTTGTGCTACACCACCCACAGTTCCATCCACACACCCCATATCCAGAGTAAACCCGAAGGAATAAGACCGGCAGGCATGTGAATGGGAGCCACGTTTCATCAACGGAGCCGGTCCACACTACTTCACAGACAAACACAAGCACGCTGTATTTGGGGAATCAACCGCACACAAGACGGTGGCTGGACCGTAGTCCGCTCCACACTGAGTGCATGGAACCACCCTTCGAGAGTAGCGCGATCACAAGAACCGTGCACCCCGTCCCCTCTAGCAACGACCAACTGTTTTCTGGAGCCAGTTGGAAGAGGTAGTGCGTAATAGACAGGTAGGCACCTTGTCAATATGCACATCAAGCGCAGCCACACCGGGGATATCAAACAATAGCCATTCACTTTAAACGAAAAGAGGAAATAAAATAAATTCAAAAATGCATACAGATACGGTGGCGTAACTCTTCGCTAAATTAGCATATGAAGTAAGTTGGTTAGCAACGAATCCACGATAAGTAAGAAATGTCCACAAGTTAGTTAAAAATGTTACAAAACGCAACAAAATTACCGAAGATAAGCGCACTTAGCGTAAGCAACGTGGCCAGTTAATAGAAGATTATTCAGGGAGGCAGAACAAACCAAATAAAGCGGAATGAAATTTATCCAGCTTAGAAAGACCTAGTTTAAGTGCAAGTTGGTTTAGCCCAACTGCTGTGAAGAAGCATCAAGAATGCAACATCAGCCTCAGCATGGGATATATATGTATATATCTATTACTTATGAGTAGAAGGATTTTTGTGAGAATGTTTGTTCGTCGCAGTCAGCCGACAATGCAGAAAAGTCAACCACCTATAAGCAAAAGCTTTTCCGGATAGGTTGTTGACTTATCTGGATTGTCGGCTGACTGCGACGAACAAATATATATATATATATATATATATATATATATATATATATATAATATATATATATAACATTGACACTTTAAACTGGACAGTTTGCAAACCACTTTGGACACATTGGGTTCGGTTGCAATTGCATGACTACAATGTTGTCTGAGCATAGCCTAGTTGCCGCCTTACTCCTCATTTTTTGCTAGCGAATCGCTGATTTTCTTCCTAGAACCCAATGTGTCCAAAGTGGTTTGCAAAATGTCCAATTTAAAGTGTTAATGGTATATAAGCAGCGGGTGCCACTACACACCCTTCTCTTGATCGTGAACATCGATCACCTCGAGCAAAGGCAGTTTTCGCGTAGTTCATGTCCCATGGACTTGTATAATTATGTGACAAACAGAAATTCATACTCCCGAATTGAGTAGTCTTAAACAAATGTCAACTGGCTTAAAGGTTATTGTAAAGCATGCGTCTGATGAATGGATTCCGATGCGTAATCTCAATGTGAACCGCTATTCCCACTGAACTAAACGTTCGCCAATTCGAACACTTGGACCGTAAATGATGAAGCAGGGACGCCGTTATCCAGTTGCCCCTGCCACTTTATGGGCCTTCGCGTATTTACTGTGGGTGTGAGGGCGACCTATTCAGGCTGTAATAACTCCACCAAACCCACTCTAGCTTTACTAGCGTTCTAATGCATTTTGTTGTCACCTGAAGGGGACTAAGGCGACTGGACGATGTTCAGACCACATTGTTGTCACGCTAATGCATCAGAACTGTGCAAGCAGTGTACGATCGTGCAAGCCCTCCTCTCGATACTTGGCGTCGTTCACCACGATCAAAACCGGTGACCCGGATTCCCCTGCGCCTCTATGGGTCTTGGTGAATTTTGTGTGGGTCTGTGGACGAAACTATGCAGCTGCTGGACTAGTGAAACAGCGTAATCTATCATGACTTCACCGAACCCACTCTAGTTTTACTGGTGTACTGTTGCAATTTGTCATCAAGGACTGGGGAGTAAGGCGACAAGACGATGTTCAGACCACACTTTGTCACGCGAATGCAACACAACTGTCCAAGCAGTTTGCGATTGTCGTTCGTCGCTCATTTTGGTCGTTTTGCGCAGCATAGGGCTAATGAAGTGATGCTGGGTTTGGCGGAGTTCTGATAGCTTGCACGAATCCAATAATCGAGCGGAGATCCATAGGGTGACAGGAAAAACTATGTCACGGCCCTCGATTGTGGTGATCGACGCCTGTGAGCAAGAGCAGGACTTGCACAGTTCCGTTGCATTCGCATGATCAAAATGTGGCCGGTACATCGGCCAGTTGTCATACTCCCCTTGACAACAAACTGTAAAATTAGGCCAGTAAGGATAGACTGGTTTTGGTTCCGTTAATTGCACTGCATGGGCTCGTCCACACACCCACAGGGAATACGGAAATGCCCATGTTCGGTGGAGTAATGATAGCCTACACTGTTCCAATAGTCCAGCAGCTGAAAAGGTTCACTCTCACACTCAGAGTAAACACGCGAAAGCCCACAGAGTGACAAGGGACTAAAGGGTCACCGCCTCTCTACTTCATCAGCTACGGTCCAAATGATCGAATTGGCCAAACTTTAGTTCAGTGGGAATAGCGGTCCACATTGAGATTGCGCATCGCAATTCAGTCATCAGACGCGTGCTTTACAATGACCCTCTCAAGACATATGCAGGACGTGACCGAGCCATCTTAAGTGACGTAGTAAAAGCAGCTTGTTGAAAGGAATAGTCGCACTCCCTGAAACAAGACGTCTGACTTTAACATTGCAGCTACGCTGCTACCACCACCACACACAATCAATTCCCCTGAAGACCCCATCATGGAAAACCGAGAGCCGGCGCATGTCACGCACGCGGACTGGCCATGACTCAATACCATGTAGCAACACTGCGCGAACGGTGGCGTTGCAAAAGCGACCCTTCAGCAAGAGGGAGACATCCCGACAACGCCACAAGTGTTGTAGGTTGATAAACGAGGATCGGGTTTTGATGACGCAGGGAAATTGCTTTGCTGATAGCGCCACCAGCAGACAAGCAGCTACCTAGATATACAAAGCTAACGTGTTCAAGATAAAATAAAGTAGTCTAGAAGAGACGGGTCGGGCGAATAGTTTACGATGGTGCCATCCGGTCGCTTTGAAAAGGATTCAACTTCATTCCTTAACGTCCAAAACTAACTGCAGAACGGCTAATTGAGCCATTAAAGGAAGTAAATGCTCTTAATTGAACTATGAATATTCCTCAATGTTCAGACTACTTGCAGAGTTTTAGTAGCTGGGCCCTTAGCACACTTCCGCAATGAGGTAGCAGAATGATTTTGTTTGGAATGGGAAGATAACGGGAAACCAAACAGAAGCGTACTGAAACCTAGCTAACAGTCGGATCGCTCATGGAGATGTGAGCGGATGTGACCAGAAGACCATCAGGTAGAAAAATGAACTCACCTCTTGCACCGGCTATGAATGATATAATCATGGCCTTTTCCGGTCGAGAAACACGATTAGCCCCTTGGAACAAATTTCGTACTGAATTGAGCTGCGCTTCTGTTAAGCATAAATCATCCTGAATTTTGACTCCCGAAGGTAGGCTTAAGAGAGTCGTAGTGTCCGACGAATTGGGCAACACCAACGTGGAAGCAGCACGGAGTGACGGACCCATGGTGGCGGTTATGGTAGGTTGGGTAGTTTGGGAAGTGAACAACAAGTTTCGCTGTTGCTGTGCGGCCACAGAGGTGTTGGATACGAACATCGGTTCGGACCTGATGAGGACCGACTGGCTAGTTGGTGCAGACACTGGTTGAGATAGCAGAGTGGTCTCTGCGCCTGTGATGTTGTAGGTCTGCAAGCTGCCGGGTCCAATGGAAGTGCCCATTGGGCGAGGCAATATTTGCACAAAATTAGCACTTGGTGGGGACTAGAAATGTAGAAAAATAATGGAATTGTGTTGCAGACTGTTAGGGAAATTAAAAAAAACAGTAAAATAATAGGTTAGACGCTCGGTGGGAACACATGATGCAGAAGATATACTCTCGGAAGGGATCGATAGGTAAAGACGTTGGTGACAGATAGAACAAGAAATTTGATCGTCATATGTGACATGTGTCTCTATTAGGGAACGGTAATGTCTATACGACTAACTTGCTCATAACTCAGACACAAGATTTGTAAACAGTTGTGACAAAAATGGAGCCAAAGCAGACGCGACACCAGAACCAAAGAAGGATTTGTTTAGCATAACGGAGGGATACACCCCACCGTTTCACATTCGTCGAATCGGAACCACACCAAGAAGCGTTCGTTCAGGTAGTACTGGAGAAGGCAAGAATGAGGTACGCCATAACTTGGAAGATTTGCTGAGCTAATATTGTAAACCGTCTGGAGAACCATTTCGACAAACAGGATCACAGTATTAGACAAAGGGGGACGGTGAGCATGACGGTAATCAGACCATTAGTAAGCGTGGCATCTGGGAACTGTGGTACAGAGAAACACGGTAGTAATAGACAATCGCTCTATAAATCTGTAAAAACAGCTTATTCATACAAAGCGATTCAACGACAAAGTATAAAGTACGCGAATAGAAAAATACCATAGAAACTACCACAAACGTTTCATTGTATGCAATAGCTACACTCCACAAAACATAACAAACCAATGAGGTCAAGCAAATTGTTCGAGTGATAAGGCACCAAAAGTAGAGCGGATTATAAACCATGAGGATATGGAATGCTAAGCTAGCCCTGTGATAACATGATTAGCATCGAATTCACATCTTTCATAAAGATGTTAAAGATATATCCTGTGTAAGTAGGAATCCAGCGGCGCAAGTAATGCAAATCGAGTCAAAGTATTTCAAAAACCAGACATCTCATAGTTCGGGCAGAGTGTGGGTTTATGGCAAACGGTTGCCACCCTTCAGTATTACCAGCGTTGTGAGACAAGGTTACCCACTGTCAAATTCCCTATTTAACTTCGCTATTGATGAAGTCATGGAAAGTGTTCGCTGAACATGACCCAGAAGGTGTGGAGCTACTTCCTGGCGAGCAACTTCTTGCCTTGGAGTACGCAGACGATATTGCCCTAATCTGCGACAGCTTCCAAACATGCCAAGCAGCACTGGACCGCTTAGCACTGGCTGTCAATCGTTTTGGGCTATGATTTGCTCCATCGAAATGCAAAGTACCTCGCCAAGATTGTCAAGGACCCAACCCTGCGCTAACGATTTGTGGTGATCAGCTAGAAGTCGTTCAGGAATTCAAGTACCTGGGCAGCTGTATTAGCGTCTATGGGATCGAAGATAAGGTTACGAACCGCATAGCCAAAGCTCGAGGTGCTTTCGCCAATCTCCGCCACATGTGACGCACACGTGACATTACTCTCCCCCTGAAGGGCAGAAATCTGTTCAAATCTCCTATATGGTTGTGAAACCTGGCCCATCAGGTCGACAGACATAAAGAGGCTCGTCACGTTCGATCAGCGCTGCTTTCGCAACTTAGCTCATGTCTGGTGGGAGCACCGTGCGAGCAATGAGCGGTTTCGGCGTCGCGTATTTGGTGCAGGAAGAGCGAGTGAACCGCTCAGCACCATTATATCACGCGCCAACCTCCGATGGCTGGGTCACGTGTTGCGCATGCCAGCACACCGACTCCCGCGACGTACATTGTTTGCGCGTTGTGGGTGCGGTTGGAAGAGGAGGAGGGGAGGCTAAGCGATGACTTGGTCGAGAGAGATGAAAACCCTCACTTCGAAGTTGGCGTCGGTTGGTGCATCCCGACTGCCTGGTTGGGGTCCTAAGGACGATGAACACGTTTGGTTGGACACACTTGCTGATTTGACTAGGAGCCGACCCAAATGGCGTTCGCGTTGCTTGTTTCTTTGTCCATCCCCACCTGCTTAGCATCCCCCTCCAATTACGATCTCACTCATTAGGCATAATATAACTCTCATTTTACGGCACGATAGCCAGCTGTTAGCTCTCCGGGACGATGTCGATCAGTTACTGGAGACTCAGCTGGCGTGTCACTGTTTTTTCGTCTTGTGCTTTGTTTTGCGGCATAATAGCTGAGATGTTTTCCACCTGCAGCTAACGTGCATAGTGGTGATACTAATGAGGATGAAACCCATATCCCCGGGAAACTGGTCACACTCAACAGAATCGACTAAAGGAAATGTGATCAATGCGAAGGTAATGTAACTGCTACAATGGTTAGCGGAATCCGGTTTCGGAATAGCGTGTCACTGCAGTCTCCACGGGTATAGCCACAGGACGCCAACGGCAACCTTCACAGCTTCATCCACACACCCCACATCCAGTGCAAACCCGTAGGAATAAGACCGGGAGGCAGGTGGATGGGAGCCACGATTCAACAACAAAACCGGCGCACAGTCCTTGAATGTGTACAGCAGCGGCAGCATTTCCGCCTATGTAGGGAGTCATGCGTACCAGACGTACACAAATCGGTGGCAGGGCTGTATCTCGCTCCACACTGGAAGCATGTAACCACACTCTGAGTTTAGCATGGTCATGAAGACAGTGAACCCCGTCCCCCAGCAAAGATTCAGTCTCCTGAAACCAGTAATCGAGGTGGAAGGTAGTAGACAAATAGACACTTTGTCAACAATACTCCCTCTTCCTCTTCATATTTTGATGGCCGTTAAAAATTGCAGACTAAAGTTCGCTTAAGGTACCTTTGAACCAATAAGCTAGAGTGCACGAGAAGGTGGGTGGTAGGTGTTGATTTCCAGCCTTGACGACAATATTCGAGTACTGAGTATGAGTTTCCCAGACACTAGTGTGGTTGAGAAGTCGAAAATGCGTCATGAAACAATAAAGAGGCTCCGAGAACTGAGTTGGCCAAGGCAGTGAATTGTAAGTAGATTGCATTGAAACAGAATACGCAAGAGAGAAGGAATGGAAAGGCTTGAGTGACACAGTGGAAAATTGCGATAGATATTAATGTGACGACGGTTGAAAGGAGAAAGCAAAAGTCATGATGGAAAGGTGTATGGAATTGTCACAAGATAGCGCCACAAAGAACTTGTATGCAATTCAAATACAAGGCTGTAAGTTCGACGCCGAAAAGTCCCCGGGAGATGGTCCTCCCAGAAACATCGCAAAATGGATCATTTGCTCTAGACGGTATTGAGTGCGAAAGTGAGCCGATTAGTGGGTAAGGCTGCAACGAAAGTCGGAGAACGGAGCAAAAAAAAACACTTCGCACGCAGGACAAAACACCGGGTTGTACGGGAGTGAATGAGGTTAACAGCCGATGGATCACGGAAACGGACATACCTGAAGAGTGGGTCTAAACGATACAGACATTGGGACCGGAGTTGCAGCAGCTGGAGCAGAGGCCATACCGACCATCGGAGTCAAAATAACCTGTCGACCATTTAACATCCAGGTTGCATTTGCGGACTCTGCACCGGAGAGAGGTTCACACAAATGCGATTGCTGTGGGTTCTGCTGCTGTGATTGGGATGACTGTACAACGGAGATGGTGTGCGTCTGCGAAGAACTCAACGATGATGGGGTGGTCGCACCAACGTTAGGGGTAGTCGGGGCCAACTGTATTAATCTAGCGGGTCGAGGAGCAATACGAACCGGACCAGCAGCAGGTGTTGAAACGGTAGGCCCAGTTCTCGCGGTGGAGATGATGCGCGCAAACACCGGCATAGATTGTGGAGGATTCTAAAAGAAAGGTAGACTGAAAATGTCATCTTGGACTGTTCAAAACATTCATTAAAACGGCTCCGGAATGCTATTCTGTACACAGCTGCTGTTGTGGGTAGTCATGACTCAAGGGGCCAGCCCTATCAAATGCAAACTTAGAAACTTAAATGGAGGTAGGTGATGGGTTATGCTATATCGCCAGTGACCCCATTGTCGTGTAGTGATGTAAGCTGCTGGCCTGTGGTACAAGTCGCTAATGTAAGGATGTCAATGATTCGGTTACTAATGTAGCCGTGTGGAGGATTAGTTGAAGACCTAATCAAAGGAAAAACAGCTAAATGTGAATTGAGATAAGAAGTACGAGTGCCATTGGGTTCGATGTGACCATGAGAAAAGAAACAAGGTGATGATAAAAAATGACATAAACATCTGGCCGAAGATCTACCCCATTCGCCTGTAAAGTCCAAAAGTCGTGTTGGGGAGAAGTCATAAAAGTGGGCTTATTGGTTAAGTAAAGTCAAGTGAGGACAAGCCGTTTAGAAAGAGGATGGAGGATGTTTGTTCAAATAAAATCTTTCACGATCACCTAAATCCAAACCAAACTGTGATCAAAAGGCTTTAGAGGTCACAAGAATAAAAATAGAACAAAAGCGTCGCGGTACATACACGAACGCCCTCCAAATAGTTGCAGCCAAAGGTATAAGGAAAAGGAACATGAGACATACAACCGGCAGTAATGATCGGAACATAAATTAATGGCTGATTAATGGCGGTCTAACAGAAACTCCTAGTGACAGTAAGGGCACTGGTAGAAAATCGGTGGATAAAGAAAATGGGTTCACGTGATTCAGTTACCGTGTTACCAAAATACCAGAACAAGCCCTTACGTTAATCTCATGGGTTGCTGACTCTAGGGTTTCATTCAATCTGATACATAGTCAGAAAACATCATACAAGAAGGTAGTTGGTCAAATGGTATGCAGAGGATGGGGCGTAGCTTACGCAGATGACCCGAATGCAATAGACGGATTAGTGCATTGCAGTGTGACGGTTGGACAAACGCCAACTGGCGCACTCGATAGTTTCACCGAATAAACAAGTGCTGGTGGTCATGAGTTAACCAATCGCTTAATCTCATCAACGAGCAGTCGCTACGGCTCGGGCCCGCATGGTGAAACTGTTCACATACTGAAGCAGTGTGTGCATCTTGCCTATGCCACCAGAGGGCAAACCGAGCTACCCCTCTAAGTCATTGTTCGGTAACTGTGGGAATCCATAGTACATTGGTCTCAATCCTGCAACACTGTATTGTGCCACGAAGAGGCAATGCATATGCGGAAGTGCGTAGCTCCACGTGTGTGTTTGACACGAACCGATAATTCGGAAGCTGCGCGTTCGACTAGATGAGAGGTGTAAAATCAAGCTAGCATAGATTTACCAGGCTGTAACCTATCAGCACCAACAGTGAGCACAATCAGTCAAAAGTGTGTCGTATACAACTCTAAGGAGACGAAGCAGTGCTGACGCATCACACTTGCCCCGGAGAGTTAAAAAGAGAACTTTCGTTTACCCTCACAGGTTCCCTGAGATCAAGTAAGGCAAAATGATTTTATTCGTTCTCTCGAGATAAAACCAAAGCTAGGTCGTTCCAAAGTCGATTGTAGTCCCCATAGTAAGTAGTCAGTAATGCACTGTTCCAAAGTATAAAAGAGCTGGTAGGAGGTTAGTTGGCTGACGAATTATGTAACGATGATAGGGAGGTTTTCGCGTAATGTGTCAGCTTCTTTTACGGCTAAGAGTAGGACAGATGGAGAAAGTCGCTCTGTTTGATTTCAAAAGCGACAGCTCATGTCATATGTCACTGAGGATGGAAGCCGTGACAACAACGCCATCGAAGGATTCAAGTTGCCGGAAAGCGATGATGACACCGTTGGAAGATAAATAGTCCTCGAAATATTCAACCTAATGTACAGGCCGGTGCGTAGTAGGTGAGATTATTCTCATGTCCTGCTCAGCGGTAGTTTCCCTCACCGATACCTTCCAAAGACTCATGCGTCGCATGAGTACTCGATCATCCACTGATGCTACTGATCCGCTTAATGATGTGATCAGCCGTAAATTCAGCGTGGTACCACCAGAATTGTCCACAGCTCCATCCTAGAACACCTAGTAGATAGTGGACATAATATACTAATGAAAGATGCCCTCAAAATAGTGTATGTAGCAGCAAAACGCTGCACAAAATGATTCAGGAAGCGCCTACTGGCCACAACAGAAGCAAGTGCGATCAAGCAACGGAAGCGGAAACTGTGTAAACAGCGTGTACTTATGCAGAGTTTAACGCTACTGTGGCCCTAGCCTGATCATCTAACTTCTGGCATAATGGTCAATGGCAGTGGGTTCAAATAGACATAGATTGCCACTGTTCATCTGATCGAGCAGGGTGGATAGGGGTTTGGATGCTACTGCTCAAGCCTTCCCGTCAACTTTTCCCCTTCTTACGCTTTTTCACTCTTACCGTCCCCTTCCAACTTTACTTATATCCCCCCAGTTTTCAACCTCCCGATTCTCGGCCCTCCCCCAACATGCTTTGCTAGGCGTTTATCTTCTAATTTCAACTCACATGTGAACGCGGAGCGTCACTCCTCTCCTGTCCACAAGTTTATTTCCAACCAAGCGGTCCATTCCAGTTCATCGGCTTCCATTTGGAGTCCTCGATCCTCCTTCAGATTGGCATGCCTCAATGTACGCACACTGCTACAAATCGGTCAACATGCAGCACTTGCCCGAACATTAGAGATCCTCCCGATCGATATCTGCTGCTTATCAGAGACTCGCATGCAAGACTCGAGCACTGTGCTCACTCTGCGATCTCCTTCAGGTGACGCAAGCAGTATTTTCGCATTGCGCCTATCCGGTGACGATGCAGCTTCGAGCACCGGCCAAGCTGGTGTTGGCATTGCCGAGTCCCCGGGCTGAAGCTGCTCTGGTTGATTGGATTCCAATCAGTAGCCCACGACGACGATGTGAGCGCATTGACACCAGCCAACTGACAAAGCCAGCTGTTCTGAATGCGTATCGAAGTACGCTGACATGCGAGTTGAGTAATCGCTCGCTGGAGACAATTGATGGCCATTGGTCACATGTTCGCCATACCTTACTAGCAGCAGGCAAATCCTCATGTGGTATGTCTAATAGCCAACGTGGTTATTGGGTCTGTTCTCGGCCTCTGGAACTTATCGAAGCTCGCCGGCATATCCCGGCTGGAAGCGAACACAATGAAACTCGCAAAGAGCTCCGGGCAAAACTCCGTGCTAGCCTGAAGAGAGACCGCGAATTTTGGTGGTCTCGTCGTGCGTCAGAGATGGAAGTGGCCACTGCCCTTGGCAACCATCGTAAGTTATTCCCTCTGATACGGGAAACGAAAAGCAGGAGACCTGGTGTTAGTGATGAGAGTGGACAGCCTATCCACAATTTGTCAAAACGTTTGGAGCGTTGGGCTGAGCATTTTGAAAAGCAATTTAATCGGCGAGAATTGTTCGGTTCTTCGCCGGCCAGTGATCGCCCTGCTCCGTGAGCTATCCCTTTGGATCTACCCTCTCGCTCAGAAGTCGAACGTGAGATGGGACTGTTGAAGTTGAACAAAGCCGCGGGACAAGATGATCTTCCTCCAGCTCTCTTCAAATTCGGAGGCTCTGCTCTTGTTGAAGATTTACATGAATTACTAGTGAAAGTGTGGGAGCAGGAGACTATCCCAACCGATTAGAGCCGCCCCATTATTGTTCCCATCTTCAAAGGCGGCTCGAGCTCGGAATGCGGCTACCATAGAGGAATCAGTCTGATCTCCATCGCCTCCAAATTACTCGCCTCCATAATTCTTCACAGACTGACTGGCGCTCGTGAAAGCCAGATTCATGAAGAGCAAGCCGGGTTTCGTTGTGGTCGTGGAGGCATCGACCACATCTTCACCTTGTGTCAGTTGTTGGAGCACCGTCACACATATTGGCGGCCCACCGATGTCGTGTTCCTCGACATCAAAGGTGCCTTCGATTCGGTTGATCGATGTGCCCTATGGAATTGTCTACTCAGGAAAGGGTGTGCCCGAGAAATATGTAAACATTATCCAAGCATTATATGCGCGTAGCACGGGCAGACTGAGGGCTTACGGCAAGCTGTCGCCACCCTTCAATATCTCCAGCGGTGTGAGACAAGGATGCCCGCTGTCACCTTTCCTCTTCAACTTCGCTATTGACGAAGTCATGGAGATTGCATTTACAGGAAATGACTTGGTAAGTGTGGAGCTTCTCCCAGGAGAACGACTTCTTGACTTGGAGTATGCAGACGACATTGCCCTCATCTGTGACAGCTCCCAGACGTGCCAAGCCGCACTGGACAGATTAGCACTGGCTGTCAGCCGCTTCGGGCTTTGCTTTGCACCATCGAAGTGCAAAGCGTTCCTCCAAGATTGGCAGGGATCGCCTCCTGAGCTGACCCTTGGTGGGGATCAGCTAGAAGTCGTTCAGAAATTCAACTACCTGGGAAGTTGTATCAGCGCCCTTGGGATCGAAGACGAGATCACGGACCGTATAGCGAAAGCTCGAAGTACTTTCGCTAACCTTAGCCACTTATGGCGGCGGCGCGACATTACTCTCGCCCTGAAGGGTAGAGTGTACAATGCAGCGGTACGTTCGACCTTACTTTACGGTTGCGAAACCTGGCCCCTAAGATCGGCGGACATGAAGAGGCTAGTTACGTTCGACCATCGGTGCCTTCGCAGTTTGGCTCACATCTGGTGGGAATACCGCGTGAGTAACGAGCGTGTTCGACGCCTTGTTTACGGCCCAGGAAAAGGAAATGAACCGCTCAACACCGTTATTTCACGCACCAGGCTCCGATGGCTCGGACACGTGTTGCGCATGCCAGCCCAACGACTCCCGCGACGTGCGTTGTTTGCTCACAGGGGATGTGGGTGGAAGAAGAGGAGAGGTGGCCAAGCGATGACTTCGTCCAGAGGAATG